AGACATTAGATTATGTAAAGAATGATGACTCGCTCTACTTAGATAGAAAATGACTTGTGTGGACTGACCCAAACTAAAAGCTCTGTTTCATCTACTCTGCTTCTGAACATTTATCTCAAAATTGTAGGTAAAAATATTCTATCCCAAAAGACTGTCAACTATAAAATCTGTATCAACGATACCAACCTGGCTAATTTAAGAACTATTTGATCCCAGTTTCAAAAGTCAAACCCACACCTACAAATCCCTTTCCTAAAAATCCAACTAATCACAATAATAAAAATAATAAAGGCATTAGTCAACAAAATGTATCCAGACCGAATGGTCTTTCATTTGCTCATATTATCAATCCTAAAACAGACTTTAATGTCTCACCACCTTTTCCTAAAAATAAACCGTCTGTAGGAAATACACTAAATAATAGTATCCATGCTAATGAGTCATTGGCCATGAAACAGAAGCAGAACTGTTCTGTCATTATGATAATAAATATCAACCATCTCTTCTTGACAGCATTTCCACTCAACTTGTCAACATTTCTCAACAACTTGTTGACATTCATAATCAACTTGGCTTTACACTTATAAGAGTAAAAACCATCAAAACCGTCCTCAATATCACATCTATTTCACCCAAACAGGCAGATATCATCAATAATAATAAGTATAAAAATCCCCTGGATGATATGGAAGAAGAGGACAATAAAGTTGTTACTGCAGGAATTGATATTTCCAAATCCATCGTATGGCAACAAGAATCCCAAGTTACTGAATTACAACTTGAAAATTCTATTCTCAAGAACAACTTAAGTGATAATTATGAAAAACTTAACAATGCTCTCATTGCCATAACCCAAATGCAAAGATTGCTTATTCACCATGAGATCTTACCAGAAAATTGTTTAATTAATATCACAGAACTAATTAAATCAGCGTCTTCAGATTACTTTAATGATAATAAGTATGATCCCCATTCAACCTAAATTTCTTTAAAAATGATTAGTACAAATAATAATAACAATGAAAACACATTGAATCCACTTTCTAATCATAATACAATTAATCGAATTTTAAAAACTGCCACACATAATATTCGTTCTTTCACCAATCCAACAAAATAATAAATGTTCATGCAAATTTATTCTTTACACCACTTGGATATTATCAGAATACAAGAAACTGACCTCAACAATTCGCAATCTAAATCTTTAAGACATACTATTAATTCAAATTACCAAATATTTTTAAATCATAATCAATCTGCACAAAAATCTGACTTCAGAGTTGGAATTATTATAAAAAAACAATTTGCAGATCACGTGTACAATTGCCAAGGTGATCTTAGATGATATATCTATATAGATTTACAATTTCGCTATAAATATAGACTTCGTATAATCAACGCCTATATCTCAAGTTCAGATACTATACTCTGTAACAAGACTTATGTTGCTATCACTAAATTACTCAACCAAGCCAAGCTAGACAACATGCAAGTTATCCTATTAGGAGACTTTAATGCAGTTCCTTCTCGGGCTAACAATCCTTCAAACTTAAATAAATTTTTTGAGCAATTGGATAATGATAATATATACAATACTTTCGACCTTTTATTTGATGATGCTAATGCAATATTTCCTACTTTTAACAACAAAATATGTCTTACCCTATCTAGGATTAACCACATTTATTGTTCAGATAGATTGGTAATAGATATACATACAGTCACAGTAATTGATGTTGATGAAGACTTCACAGATCATAATATTGCAATGACCTCCATTTATATTTCAGAATTAGTTTCTCAGTCCAACAAAGCTCCAGCTAAGAAAATATCCTTTCACTATGATAAGATGTCTCGCGATGATTAGACGAATTTTGCTATCAAAACAGATGCACTACTCTCTTCTTGTCAGCTCGCCAATTTGGATAAAATTAAACTGAAATTCAAACACGTCTTAAATTTTTACTGGGATTTAATCCAAGGTTGTATTATAAAAACAATGGAGAAGTTTATCCCTATTTACCACTCTTCACAACACGCACATGACTTGAAGCCTAAAATGCTTAAAAAAGTTTACCAGTAATTATTAACTGTTCAAAAACTCGATAAACTTTCAAAAAAGCATTACATTCTGAAAATATTTCACCAACCCGGGTCTCCTTATATGGTAAAGCATCTGGTTTCTCAGAATAATTTGCTATTACACTTCTACTGGTCACTAGTCAGACATTGTCACTATTTACCATATAATCTATTATTCCCCAAATTAAAGTACTTATCTCTAGCTTGACTGTTTCAGCTAAGTTCAAAGAAGAAGAACATAAAACTCAAGCTATCAAAAATGCCTTAGAACAACAGTATAATAACTTTCGTGATAATCAGACGAAAATGTATGACTCGCTTCTTAATAGAGAAAGGCATGTCATAGTACTAGATAGATGTCTAAATAACTCGACTCAAAACTTAGGTCTTCTCACCTCTAAAAGTAATGTTAAACGTGAGACAGCTCGCCATTTTCAAAGAATTACTAACACTTACCATTATAATGAATCCATCCAAAATGGCTGGACACAGTGGTATTCTTCCTTGGCTGACATTGATCCCAATATTTATAATGATCTCATAATACCCCAACTGAAGACAGGTGGTATAATGTCATCTTAGCTCTTCCTTTAGACAAAGCTCCTGGTCCTTCCAAAATTTCTAATGAAATGTTGAGACACCTTAGTTCTAGAATGAAAAAAATATTCTGGATCTTTGTTTGCGAATGTCTTAATCTCTCTCTTACTCCAGATCATTGGAACCTAGCTTACATATATCCTATTCCCAAACCCAAACCTTGGGAATACAATCTTAATAATACACGACCTATCACTTTGCTAGAGTGTTCTCGTAAAGCTTTAGTTAAACTTATTAACAAAACGTTACTTAACATTTTATCAAATCATAATGTCTTAAAAGGATACAACTTTGCAGAACTCCCATTTTGCTCAACCTTTGAACTTATCCACATTTTAGATAATATTCGCTTTGACGTCAATCAATCTCCTTCAAAAGAATTATGGATTTTATTTTGAAGATATGTCCAAGGCTTACGATTGAGTGAACCTTGACATGCTACATAATGCATTAATTTGTTTTCGACTTCCATCAATTTTCGTTGTTTTATCCTTTCTATTTTTGCAAATCGTTTTAATCAAGTTTTACTGCGTATGGTAATACACCTATTTTTTCAGTATTATCAGATATCGATCAAGGGGAAATTATTTCACCAATTTTATGGTGTATATACTACGATCCACTCTTATGTAGAATTCAAAATTCAATATTAGGATATCATGCTAAAGTTTCTTGAAAACCCAACATTTTAAACAATATCCCATCCACAATTGATGCTCATGTATCAGCCTTGCTTATATGGATGATACATTGTGGTTGGGCAACAGCAAAGATGATCTCAATGAAATTTTAAATATTGCTAATAGTTTTTATTACCTAAATTCCATCCAAGTTAACTGGGATAAATCGGTTCTTTTATCCTCTTTACCAATCACTACGGTGGTACAATTCAATTTTAATAACAAGCCTTTGTGGATCACTCTGACAGACCCCAAGATTCCTATTCGATATCTCAGAATTTGAATCTCATTAAAATATGATCAAAAATTTATTCTACAACAAGTTACTTGTACTATTAAATCAGCAATCCAGTTAATGGCTAAAAAATGACTTACTGACAAACAAATGGTTTCTGTGTTCAACTCTGTTCTTTTACCTCAAATCCAGTATCGTACACAACTGACCTACTTATCTGAAACTTTTTGTAACAACATTAATGATTCTTTTCATAGACTCTTTCGTCATAATCTTTGACTTTCTAAATCATTTTCTAGTGCCATCATCCACTCACCTTTACATTACAAATTATTCTACCTATATGACAAACAATTGCAAGTAAAAACCTCAAATTTTTTCAAAATTATTAATAATAAAGGTCTGGTTGGTCTTACGTTCTGAATTCGTGCTATTCAACTTCAATTCAAAGAATGGCTACCATCCTCTCCATTACATAATTGACCATTTACGAATCCCAACAAATTTAAAGACTGGTGGTCTTCACTTTTATCTACGTTTAATCATTTCGATATTTCTTTTAATCTATCACCCCAATTCTCTAGTATTATTCAAGGTGGTTATTGTCCTCTGATCACCTTATTTGATGAAACTAATTACAGAGAATTTTCTCCTTCACTTCATAACAAAGAAATCATGTTTTTCGACCAACTCACCACAAATGATGGAGCTGTTTTTTTTACACATTCAGACTTTAATGTTATTTCTACCAAAATGGTAATATGCGCTATTCCATGTTAGTTTACAAAACTACAAGCTATTCTTTCTATTACTTCCTTGTCTTGGTCGATACCTTTACACATGCGGAATCCTCATTGTAATCAGTTGAGCATTGCTCCTCCAATGTTCAAGAAAAATATAACCAATTATGCCACTACTTGGAATATAGGCCTCCAAACTTCTATAGTCGATAAAACACTACTTATTACTAAGGATACTGTCCATTTACAACATCATATTGTATTGCACAATAATAACTTCAATTCAATTCTTGAACCGTATAATGGATGTATTTTACAAGACAATATCACTTTTAGAGCTACCAATATGTTTGGCAAGAATCGCTATTGTTTTTTTAAAAATTCCAAAGAGTTATTCACAAATATAAAAACATCAATTGTCAAACTAGAAGGTACGTGATATTTTCTATCACCATTCATATTACATGAATTGACTTTTGCTACTTTTATTTCTCCAGTAACTTCATTTACTTTACTGAGTAACTAAATTGCTTCTTCTGTTACAGATATTTCTCCTTTTTTTAATTATTTTGACGAACATTCTATCAATCGCCTTTATTTATATTCTGCTAATTTTACTAATGCTTTCACCTTAGGAAATTCTTCAGTCTGTATGGGAATCGCCTAGCTATAAACCAACCTATTATATCTGTCCATTGCTTTTAATGTCACACTTCTTCTTAATTCACCTTCATCTACACTTGCTGAACTTCTGGCCATTCTTACTGCTTTATATGTCTCTCCAACTTCATCAATTATTAATATTTGTACTGATGCTCAAACAGTCATAGACAATTTTGACAAATTTGAATTCTTAAAATGATGCTCTCCCACCAATAATCCATTATACAACATCTCATACTTTCCAATTTGGTTTGCATTTTTCCGACTTATAGAGGATAAAAATATTTTTATATCATTCACAAAAATCAAGGCTCATGTATCTGATTAATTTAATAATAAAGTCGACACTCTCGCAAAAAAGGATAGTCCTATTCTTTCTCTTGATTCTATTTCATATGATCCTGACTTTTCCATATTCTCCACAAATTTCCAATTTTAACCTCTCCCAAATATTTCATCAAACTCCTTTTTCAATCTATTCGATTTCAAGACACTCTATCTCTTACACAATTTTCTCATTATAATATTATGGCTATCAATTAGCTAGTATCCACCTTTATCCTTAATGATAATAGTTCACCTTCGTCAACTTCATATCAAGACTAGCTTTAAAAAACAAAAATAAAAATTTCTTTTGGAAATGCTTCTCACAATTGAAATGCTTAAAATCTGACACCCTTCTCTCTATCATTCTAGTTTGCTGTGTTATCGATGTTCAATAATAGAAGAAGATTTTAATCACATTTGGCTTTGTTTCTCCTCTTCCAATCAAATTTGTGCTTTAATTAATTCTACACGCCAACTTCTGTTCTCTCAATTAGTTGATCTTAAAGAAGTGGATTCTATCCCTAATGATCTACTTAAACATATCAGTCTCTCTCCCATTTGGAACTTAATGCCCCAAGGCTCTAACTTCTGTTTTATCGATATCATTAAAGGTTTAGTTCCTCTCGACCTTTATAACTGTATCTTTGAATTTCTTAACAACAAACAAATGACTCTTTCCCTCCTATCTATAGTTTATCATGTTTTTGAGCAAGCATCTTCCATATGGAATGACCGAAATATCACTATGCAGAGATTGGAAAACAAATGAATATTTCGTTATCCTCCAAAAAAGAGAACTTTATTTCTACAGGATTTCCTTCTTCTTCTTCTCGTCTTCTTTCTCCCCCTTTCTTTATTTCCTCCTTTAGATACGGAAAGTATTAGTCAGATTTTTGGCTAGGTAGCTACCAGGCCCTCTGTACTGGATGGTTGATTTTATTTAAATTTATTTTTGGGTAGAGTAGTCTAGGACGGTGCAAGGTTAGCTTTGATTTAGTATAGTTTTATATTAGATAGAAGTTTTCGTAAATTTTCTGTTTTGTTTT